TTCCATCGTTATCAATTAATATGCGTAATAATGTCGGCAGTTCACGCGTAGGATTCCAACATATAACCCGGATTCGTTAACCACGAAGATTCCATCCATCTGCTAGCCCTGGCCCGTTAGCACACGCTATCCGTGGCCTCTTACTCACTAAACTGAACTAGCTACTGAACTAGCTACTTGCTATTAGCCACAGCTAGCGGTGTTTCACCCAGAACATTGTTTTTTTTCCCGCGGGATTAATTTTAATCACTGGACATTGATCACCGGATATTCGGCCAGTCTGCACAGCGCGTTATCGACCCAGAACATATCAGTTTTTCCGCCGGAATCACTGAATCACTGGACCTTTAACTCCGGATTCATCGCTACCAGCTGGCTACAACAAAACGGACGCTGTGGTCTGGCTAATCATCCTGAGCTAGGCCCATCTCCCGGCTATCTACCTCTCTGTCAACCGGACGGGACCACCTAGTGTTGACACGAAGCCCCGCCGATCCTACACGACTGGTCTGCCGACGAAATCGTCTGATGTGGTTACGACGTTAACCACGAAGATTCCATCCATCTGCTAGCCCTGGCCATGATAGTAGGTCAAAATTCCTACCATCATGGTGCAGGACACAGTATTTTCCAGTGATAACCAAGAGGGGCCTAGCTTTGTTCAGTCCTGCCTCCAGAAGGCTACTGAGTGAGAAGGGCTGCATTCTGTTCTACTAGGCCCTCTGCACCATCAACTCCCCTGAAGTACTATCACCATATACTACACCCAATTCAGTAGTGGTCTTCAGTGAGGTGCACGGCTGTAAGTTTTGTCCTCCATGACTGGGAAAGGTCCAGAAGATCCTATATGCACCTGGTTTGCATCCCAATATTGTGTTCATTGTTTTTACAGACCTTTAAGTAATGAGACTTTAAGACCGTGACCATACAATTAGGAGTAAAATGACTATGCATGTGTGGGCTACTATGCTATCTGGACTATGGATGCAAGGACAGACAGTTTTACACATATGGCTCAGTTGGTACAAGCAATACAAAGACTTTCAAGTTTCAATGTCTCGTGCACAAGTACAGTGAAATGCCTTTCTTGCATGCTCCAAACCCAACAATGCAGTAATCAATATCAATGTAGCACTAAAAATAACAGACTAGAAAAGCATAAAGAAACTGGGGGTCTAGGAGGACCAGACCCTCAGTAAAGTAAGTAAGTAGCCTTTCACAAGCCTTAGCTTGTACGAGCCAGAACAGCATCTCCTTAATGCTGAGTGCCATGCAGAGACACATTCGGTCCCATTTTTAGTCTTTGATTAACTCAGACGGAGATCAAACTTCCAACCTTCCAATCTCAGGGCGGACACTAATGACAAGGCCACTAAGTTGGTCACAGACAGCCCATTACCCCTCTAAAAAAACATGAGGCCAAATAGATAATTTTACCCTTCATTTTGGCCCATTCTACCCCCTGCCTTTCATATTGTCAGTGTGCTGCTGTAACTAAACCTTAGTTTTTTCTCCTACTGTTGTTTGAGGGCAATTGCTTAACGAAACTGTTGAAGGGAATATAGTCAAATAGTATGATCAACCAGTACATTAACCCGGTAGTATGTGAACCATGTATAGTCATTGTATGGTCTACACTTCTCGTGCCTTTATGACCTGTGTGTCCTTGGTCATTCTATTGAATGTACTCCAGTCGGTATTGTGGAGCCAAGGGGGCTTTGTACAAGTAACAAGCTTGCAAGCCTTCCAGAGAGCAGTGTTATACACTCTTCTACTAAAACTCCAGATATAACTGGGTGATCAATAAATCATGGGATTTATGTCAGTTGCTAGGTCTTAGCTGGTGAATGATTTTTTTTTTTTAATAATTATGCTAGCTAACTACGGCTCCATACATAATTAAGCTAGCTAGCTTAAAAATAGTTTTCAAAATAACTTTACCTAATCGATTTCTGTAGCTAACATCTGACTACAACGTTAGTTACAAACTCTTAATAAAAATGACTCGGACAATAGCTTCCAAAAACGCATTACAACGAAGAAAAAGCTTGCCACTGTTGTGACTTTTGGTTAATAAATATTCAAGATAATTTACTGATTAATTACTGGAATTATTAATTGATCTGATTTATTTGATTAATTTGGTTATCCTATCCAAATTAATCTAAAAGGGGCACCATTAAGGGTTGATATAGAGAAACCCTTGAATTAACTCTATCAGTAGTTATCATTAACCGTTATACCATTAATTCTCTATCAACAATATAAATCAACAGTCAATGTTAATATATTCTCATTCTGAATAGTCGAGAAGCTCTGGAACTACAAGAACTCAATAGCTCACAAATGAACTCAATGCCACAAATAATTAATTCAAAGTTTTATTTACTAAGACTAAATAAGTTGGAAAATTAGGTAGTTAAAGACACGATATAAAACAGGGTAAATGGGGTACAACACAGTTATCGAGGTGAGTCTCCACAGGTCAACATAAATGAACTTCCGTACTCATGCAAATATACAACACATTCACAGGACTTTTGAGAATGATATAATGTTATTCATTGAAAGAGAAGATGTGAGAGAAGAAAGACATTTAAACTTACCCGCCATGACAGCTAACGGCTGGGCTTTTTTGGTGGACATTGCGCAAGTGGTAACATGGTAACGCACATCGTGATTGACAGGTGGCTGCGCCAGTCAACACAGCCCATGTGAGCTGTCACCCACCAACCAGTGTAGAGAATACTGGTCTATGAAAACTTCATCTGATTGGTTAGAAGAAAACAGGTCCCACCTCCAACAGCTCTCTCTCTCTGCTTGCAAATTGCTGTTAAAGTGCTTCAACATGGGGATGTGTGAAACGTACTCCTCAGCCTGAAGTGTCCCCACTTGCGGGAGTGAATAGCTAGCTTTTCGCGTGACTCCGACTGGTAAGACGCTTCAGGAGGCGGACATGTGTGCTAGCAAGGCAGAGGCCCCTAGATGTATGTACAAAAAGTGCTGTAACTTCTAAACGGTTCACCAGTAGAGAATACTGGTCTATGAAAACTTCTATCGGTTCACCCGATATAGATGAAAATACCCTCAAATTAAAGCTGCCAGTCTGCAATTTAACCTCATCGTCATTGAATCATTTTCAATCACTGTCCCAATAGTTTTTGAGCTCACTGTATGCGAGACTGTATGGTAACATAATAGTTTATGTAGCGCCTTGTTGCCTTTCACTAGGTTTCAAAGCGCTTTGCTTATCTGTGTAATGTATTGTGTGTTGAGAGTGTTTGCCCCTGCCTGTGTGTGTAGGTGAACCCTAGAGGAGGGACTGGTGGTGGTGGGCTTTGAGGACGGGGTGGTCTGTCTGCTGGAGCTCTACAACCCCCAGAGTTTACGGGTGGTTGCAGGGCGCAGTCGCTATGGAGACGCCGAGCTCCGTCTCAAACAGGCCTTCAAACCCCACAATGCCATTGTGTACGAACGCAACGGAGAGATCCTGGCAACTGGGGTAGTGAGAGGTCCGCAGACTGTCGGCCAATGTGAAATCAGTCATTAAACAAACTGAATGGGTATAATAATCCTCTCCTCCACCATCCCTCCTTCTCTCTTTCCCGCTCTAGAGTATGGAATGTACTGTGTTCTTCTTCACTGTGGGGGACAGGTACGACTCCATCGGCTTTGTCACAGGACATGTACAGAGGCTGGTGTGGTCCCCCCAGTCACATGTATAATCCCAGATCAGTGATGACTTTACAAGCCTCTCGTTCACATGTCGTTCACCATAGGGGGCTTATTGGAGCTGTCAGTTGTGACTGAGACTTGTGCTTTAAACAATGTAGGCTACATTTGTTGATTGCTAGGTATACAAATAAGATCATTTCTTGATACATTTCAAACAAGGTCTAGTTGTGGCCGCAACCGGACTAGATTGTGAACGACTCTTGGCGGAATGCATTGCTTGACTGCCGTGAGGGTGATAAACACAATATAGTTCGCAACTGCAGCCCCCCAAACGATTAATTCTCGAGTTCGAGTTTGTTGAGCAGAGGCTATATATGTTTTGGTTCTACAAAGCTGGGTCCATCATAACATTCAATAATCAATTAATTGCATTCATTCTTACCCATGCGATCAATTATCAGTTCTAAATATGAATCTTTCTTCTCTATGCTGCCTGCAGCATGATCTATTTTCCTGTGGGCATATGTGACAGACAGTTGTTGGTCGGAAGACGTCTCAGGAGCCGCTGAGCCGGAGGAGCGTTTATCAATCCTGCTGTAGGACTCATTGTAATCTCTCATGGACAGACTACGTAAACATAAATAGTAATCGAGCATCTGACTAATTACGCAATACTTGAATTCTGGGTTAACTGAGATTAGACTCATTGCAGCCTGCAGGTCAAACGAACGATGAAAATGAACGAGTCACTCAGAAAAACGAATCATGACTCAAGTCAGTAAAAAGAGTCGTTCAAAAATAACAAATAATTCGCAAACTTTACATCACTAGTTAATAAGTCATAACCCTTCTTCTGTGTGTGGAGGTTGGTGGTACCTTAATTGGTCAGGACGGGCTCGTGGTGATGGCTGGAGCGGAATTAGTGGAATGGTATCCAATACTTTAAAAACATGGTTTCCATGTGTTGGATGCCATTCCATTAGCGCCGTTCCAGACATTATTATGAGCCGTCCTCCCCTCAGAAGCCTCCACTGGACTGTGTGCATGTGTGTGTGTGTTCAGGACAAGAACACCCTGCTGGTCCTGTGTAGGAGTGGTGACGTGGTGGAAGTGCAGTCTCCAGACCCAGAGGCCCAGAACCACGGCACACACACATGCACACAGTCCAGTGGAGGCTTCTGAGGGGAGGGCTGCAGTTGCGAACTACCACATCTCTGGCCTTCCTACAAGACACTTCATCAAGTCACGCATCAAGGTCTGGCCCTCACTGTCTGGGATCAACTGTACTGTAAACACAAACTAGAGATGTGTTTGTAAATGTTTAAATGTCAGCGGTAGGAGGAGATTGCACGCAGGCAGGCTCTGAAGGAGAAGAGGCAGAGAGAGAGGCGCGGCTGAATGAAGCCAAAGAGCAGGGCCATGAGCCCAATGATGAGGAGCTGCAGCAGGAAGGCAAGGAGAAGGAAGAGCTGCCCCCTCTCTACACCCCCGACCCCCGCCCCAGCCCCCTCTACTGTGGCTTCTACTCCCAACTTGGGGCCTTCTGGCTCTCCATGGTACACACACACTTACCAGGGCCGTCTCATTCTCTCTCTCTCACTCACTCACTCATGACTTTGCCACCCCAAAGTGGACAAATATGTGAAATTTAGCCTGCTGGTACATGGACAATTATTATCAAGCCAAACATGGACAATTCCATAAGGAGTTGACAAAAGTGCAGAAACACACTGGCACTGGCTACTTTTACTTGTCTCCTCAATAATTTTTTTACAAAAATGAATGATTTATGGTTGTAATGTATTTATTCATTTAAAACATATTTATGGAAATGCTATAGTTCTTTATCTGGAACTTTTAAATCTCTTTCTGTTAAAATATGAGTAATGTTTTTGTTACCTCTCATTCTGGCTGATATTCAGGACCAAATTCCCCTTCAGATTTTGAGCACACAAACAACACCATAAAGCCACTCCCACTTCTCAATTCAAGGAAAACGAAAGTGATTTAGGATAGTCTGCTGCTCAGGCTGTGTTTGTGTGCAACAAAATGGCAGAGGCCATTTTCAACAACCAAGATCTGTTATTTTGTTCGATATGCTTGGATGTACTTAAGGATCCAGTGACTATACATTGTGGGCATAGCTACTGTTTGGGTTGTATCAACAACTGCTGGGATCAGGATGATCGGAAAGGTGTCTACAGCTGTCCTCAATGCAGACAGACCTTCACCCCAAGGCCTGTTCTTAATAAGAGCACTGTCTTGGCTGAAGTGGTGGAGAAACTGAAGAAGACAGGATCCCAAGCTCTCTGTTATGCTGGACCTGGAGATGTGGAGTGTGATTTCTGTACTGTAAGGAAACTCAAAGCTGTCAAGTCCTGTCTGGTGTGTCTGACTTCTTACTGTGTGACTCACCTCCAGCCTCACTATAGCCTTTCTACCTTAAAGAAGCACACGCTGGTCAAAGCCACACAACTACAGGAGAAGATCTGCTCTCACCATGAAAGACTGTTGGAAGTTTACTGTCGGACCAATCAGCAGTGTATCTGTCTGTTGTGTGTGATGGAAGAACATAAAGGCCATGATACAGTCTCAGCTGAAGCAGAAAGGAATGAGAAACAGGTAAAGATTGGAATTGTGAACTAGCTCTTTTAATGCATTTTTCAACATTTCACAATTTCTACACTGCTCAAAAAAATAAAGGGAACACTAAAATAACACATCCTAGATCTGAATGAATGAAATAATCTTATTAAATACTTTTTTCTTTACATAGTTGAATGTGCTGACAACAAAATCACACAAAAATTATCAATGGAAATCAAATGTATCAACCCATGGAGGTCTGGATTTGGAGTCACCCTCAAAATTAAAGTGGAAAACCACACTACAGGCTGATCCAACTTTGATGTAATGTCCTTAAAACAAGTCAAAATGAGGCTCAGTAGTGTGTGTGGCCTCCACGTGCCTGTATGACCTACCTACAACGCCTGGGCATGCTCCTGATGAGGTGGCGGATGGTCTCCTGAGGGATCTCCTCCCAGACCTGGACTAAAGCATCCGCCAACTCCTGGACAGTCTGTGGTGCAATGTGGCGTTGGTGGATGGAGCGAGACATGATGTCCCAGATGTGCTCAATTGGATTCAGGTCTGGGGAACGGGCGGGCCAGTCCATAGCATCAATGCCTTCCTCTTGCAGGAACTGCTGACACACTCCAGCCACATGAGGTCTAGCATTGTCTTGCATTAGGAGGAACCCAGGACCAACCGCACCAGCATATGGTCTCACAAGGGGTATGAGGATCTCATCTCTGTACCTAATGGCAGTCAGGCTACCTCTGGCGAGCACATGGAGGCCCCCCAAAGAAATGCCACCCCACACCATGACTGACCCACCGCCAAACCGGTCATGCTGGAGGATGTTGCAGGCAGCAGAATGTTCTCCACGGCGTTTCCAGACTCTGTCACGTGCTCAGTGTGAACCTGCTTTCATCTGTGAAGAGCACAGGGCGCCAGTGGCGAATTTGCCAATCTTGGTGTTCTCTGGCAAATGCCAAACGTCCTGCACGGTGTTGGGCTGTAAGCACAACCCCCACCTGTGGACGTCGGGCCCTCATACCACCCTCATGGAGTCTGTTTCTGACCGTTTGAGCAGACACATGCACATTTGTGGCCTGCTGGAGGTCATTTTGCAAGGCTCTGGCAGTGCTCCTCCTGCTCCTCCTTGCACAAAGGCGGAGGTAGCAGTCCTGCTGCTGGGTTGTTGCCCTCCTACGGTCTCCTCCACGTCTCTTGATGTACTGGCCTGTCTCCTGGTAGCGCCTCCATGCTCTGGACACTATGCTGACAGACACAGCAAACCTTCTTGCCACAGCTCGCATTGATGTGCCATCCTGGATGAGCTGCACTACCTGAGCCACTTGTGTGGGTTGTAGACTCCGTCTCATGCTACCACTAGAGTGAAAGCACCGCCAGCATTCAAAAGTGACCAAAACATCAGCCAGGAAGCATAGGAACTGAGACGTGGTCTGTGGTCACCACCTGCAAAACCAGTCCTTTATTGGGGGTGTCTTGCTAATTGCCACCTGTTGTCTATTCCATTTGCACAACAGCATGTGAAATGTATTGTCAATCAGTGTTGCTTCCTAAGTGGACAGTTTGATTTCACAGAAGTGTGATTGACTTGGAGTTACATTGTGTTGTTTAAGTGTTCCCTTTATTTTTTTGAGCAGTGTATATCATTGGCACTGACTTTCAAAATCAGTTCAGAAACACAAAAACATTGTTTTGAAAACATAACCGTTGACGTGTTTGAGGGTTCTAAAGCCCTCATTAGGCTGTAAAGCAGGGAATAAAAATGTGTGGGCCAATCATTGTTCAAAGTTGTGATATTTGGAGACACATGTTCCAATAACATTATTTCCAAAGATGAACACAGTGCAATATGATTGTTTGTTTACAGAAGCAGTTTGGAGAGAAAAGGAGAAAATACCAGAAGAGAATCCAGGAGAGAGAGAAGGAGCTGCGAGAGTTGAGACAGGCTGTGAAGACTCTTAAGGTGAGTATTGGCTATACACCTGCATACATTTATAAAGCATAAGTGCTCCTTTACTGAACAATAAATGCTACATAAAATACAATGTCTCTACAGCATACTGCAGGGGCAACAGTGGATGAGAGTGAGAGGATCTTTACTGAGCTGATCCGCTCCATTGAAAGAAGGCGCTCTGAGGTGAAGGAGCAGATCAGAGCCCAGGAGAAGAGTGCAGTGAGTCGGGTTGAGGGACTCCTGCAGCGACTGGAGCAGGAGGTTGCTGAGCTCAAGAGGAAAGATACTGATCTGAAGGAGCTCTCAAACACAGAGGATCACATCCAATTCCTCCAGGTGTCAATGAGTCATGACTCATGAGCTCCACACATGGGTCTCACAAGTGTTTCCCAATGGAACTGTCTCTTGATTTCTTTCAAAGTAACATTTCTTTCTCATTAACATTTGTTTCTCTTTCTCTTTAATTTTTTGCATTGTAGGGTTTCCAGTCTCTCTTAGTCAGTCCAGAATCTTATGTCTCACCATGCGTCACTGTCAATCCACATGCCCCTTTTGAGGCTGTGAAGAAAGTCCTTTCTGATCTGAGAGAGCGATTGGAAACAATGTCTAAGGGCATTGCTAAGATGTCTGAAAAAAGTAAGGAAAGAATGTATCTGTCCTCAAAAATATGTAATGATGTAATGTCTGCTAGTTAAGTATTTAGGTGAACAATTTAATCACTAGACCATTCATCTTTGTCCTTATCCTTAGTCCAAATCGATCCTGATCCCAAGACAAAAGAGGAATTTGTAATATGTAGGTAACAATTTTATATTTTATTACTGACACACATACACACACACAAATAACTTGTATTTAATTTTTTTCCAACTTTCAGACTCCTGCCAGCTTACAATGGATCCCAATACAGTATTTGAAAACCTTCGCCTCTCTGAAGGGAACAGAACAGTGACATGGAGCAAAAAGGCCCAGTCCTATCCAGATCATCCAGAGAGATTCACTGAATATGACCAAGTGTTGTGTAGTGAGGGTTTGTCTGGAAATTGCTATTGGGAGGTAGAGTGGAAAGGGGCTAGGGTTGAGATAGCTGTCTCTTATAAAGGGAAAGGGTTGAAAGAGTGTGGCTTTGGATACAGTGATCAGTCCTGGTGTCTGTCCTGCTCTCATTCAGGATGCACTTTCTGGTACAATGGTATTATGACTAAAATATCTATCCCCTGCTCCTCCAGAGTAGGAGTGTACCTGGACAGCAGGGCAGGAACTCTGTCCTTCTATAGCATCTCTGACACGATGTCCCTCCTCCACAGAGTGCAGACCGCATTCACTCAGCCCCTGTATCCTGGGTTTATGGTTGGTAGAGGGGAATCTGTGAAGATAATGCCACCTAAATAGAAATACAGTATGATCAGCTAAGACAGAAATCCAAATGGGGCTTCAGAATGATAAACATTGCTTCAGTGTTATACCCATAGGCTAGATAATATATCAGTGTTCTATGGTTATACCTAAATCTTTTGGGAATATCATTTTCAATCACTTTTATTAGAATAGTATGACTCTATGGCATCATCTTTTTCTGTTTTGCTCACCTCATCAACAATTACCTTTTCACTTATCTGTACAGGTTATTGTTATTCAGATCAAATCAGAATGTGTAAATCAAACTACAATGAATCCAAAACTGTGGAATGTGATCTTTCAAAATAAAAGTAATCATGGAATTTAAATAGATGGTTCTACTGATTTATTTTATTTACTTTACAGGAACCTATCTTATGTTTAGAAATATAGATGCATTTGTTGGATAGCCTACTTTATCTAGGTTAACAGTAGAAATACAAAGGTCCACCACACACATCTTTAAATTAAATGGTACATAATATTTCTGAATGCACGTATAGCTACCAATTTAACACTATCTGATTTATTTCTGGAAAAAAAAGTTAATGTGAGTCCTGAAAAAGCTTCAGTGGTGATAGATGACTTCATTAACCAACATGCTCTGCAATTACAAAGTCCCTCTCCCAGTGTTGCAAAGCAATGAGTCAACTTCAAAAGAAGATGGACTCCTCTGAGAAACAGACAGATGAAACCAATTTACAAGGTAATATAAAAGTTCACAGCTCAACTAATTATAGATTTTGACTACAGTCACTGAATGTTGGAATTGACCTCTTAAGGATCGGACCCTTCTTTTCAATTTTCGCCTAAAATGACATACCCAAATCTAACTGCCTGTAGCTCAGGACCTGAAGCAAGGATATGCATATTCTTGATACCATTTGAAGGGAAACACTTTGAAGTTTGTGGTAATGTGAAACTAATGTAGGAGAATATAACACATTAGATCTGGTAAAAGATAATACAAACAAAAAAACATGTGTTTTCTATTTCCAGTTTCCATGATATGTTTTTTGTTGTTGTGCACTCTCCTCAAACAATAGCATGGTATTTTTTCACTGTAATAGCCACTGTAAATTGGACAGTGCAGTTAGATTAACAATAATTTAAGCTTTCTGCCCATATAAGACATGTCTATGTCCTAGAAAACTTGCTGTTACTTACAACAATCATGCTAATAACCTTAGCGCACGTTAGCTCAACCGTCCTGTATATGGGACACCGATCCCGTAGAGGTTAATAGGTAAAATCAAAGACACATTTATTATTTACCCAAACATGTTTACTGATGAGGGAAGTAAGAAGCATCTCTGAGTCTGACCCCAAAAATGTTAAAGAGAATTTTCAAAAATGTTCAACTTCATATTAATCATCTCCAGCACCACCCCAACAACAACATGTTGTGGAGAGAAAAAAAGATAGAGGAAGATAAGTGTTTCCAATGGCATCATCGGTGTGTGTCATGCGATTTTAACCAATCATGAGTAGGCAAGGCCTACTAATTGCCTACTAATTGTCTACTAATTGGTCAATGATATAATTGGAAACACTTATCTTCCTCTATCTTTTTTTCTCTCCACAAAACATAGTAACGCGCCATTTTCACATACAGTGAGGGAAAAAAGTATTTGATCCCCTGCTGATTTTGTACATTTGCCCACTGACAAAGAAATGATCAGTCTATAATTTTAATGGTAGGTTTATTTGAACAGTGAGAGACAGAATAACAACAAAAAAATCCAGAAAAACGCATGTCAAAAATGTTATAAATTGATTTGCATTTTAATGAGGGAAATAAGTATTTGACCCCCTCTCAATCAGAAAGATTTCTGGCTCCCAGGTGTCTTTTATACAGGTAACGAGCTGAGATTAGGAGCACACTCTTAAAGGGAGTGCTCCTAATCTCAGTTTGTTACCTGTATAAAAGACACCTGTCCACAGAAGCAATCAATCAATCAGATTCCAAACTCTCCACCATGGCCAAGACCAAAGAACTCTCCAAGGATGTCAGGGACAAGATTGTAGACCTACACAAGGCTGGAATTGGGCTACAAGACCATCGCCAAGCAGCTTGGTGAGAAGGTGACAACAGTTGGTGCGATTATTCGCAAATGGAAGAAACATAAAATAACTGTCAATCTCCCTCGGCCTGGGGCTCCATGCAAGATCTCACCTCGTGGAGTTGCAATGATCATGAGAACGGTGAGGAACTACACGGGAGGATCTTGTCAATTATCTCAAGGCAGCTGGGACCATAGTCACCAAGAAAACAATTGGTAACACACTACGCCGTGAAGGACTGAAATCCTGCAGCGCCTGCAAGGTCCCCCTGCTCAAGAAAGCAGGGGGACCGTCTGAAGTTTGCCAATGAACATCTGAATGATTCAGAGGAGAACTGGGTGAAAGTGTTGTAGTCAGATGAGACCAAAATTGAGCTCTTTGGCATCAACTCAACTCGCCGTGTTTGGAGGAGGAGGAATGCTGCCTATGACCCCAAGAACACCATCCCCACCGTCAAACATGGAGGTGGAAACATTATGCTTTGGGGGTGTTTTTCTGCTAAGGGGACAGGACAACTTCATCGCATCAAAGGGACGATGGATGGCGCCATGTACCGTCAAATCTTGGATGAGAACCTCCTTCCCTCAGCCAGGGCATTGAAAATGGGTCGTGGATGGGTATTCCAGCATGACAATGACGCAAAACACACGGCCAAGGCAACAAAGGAGTGGTTTAAGAAGAAGCACATTAAGGTCCTGGAGTGGCCTAGCCAGTCTCCAGACCTTAATCCCATAGAAAATATGTAGAGGGAGCTGAAGGTTCGAGTTGCCAAACGTCAGCCTCGAAATCTTAATGACTTGGAGAAGATCTGCAAAGAGGAGTGGGACAAAATCCCTCCTGAGATGTGTGCAAACCTGGTGACCAACTACAAGAAACGTCTGACCTCTGTGATTGCCAACAAGGGTTTTGCCACCAAGTACAAAGTCATGTTTTGCAGAGGGGTCAAATACTTATTTTTTGTTGTTGTTATTCTGTCTCTCACTGTTCAAATAAACCTACCATTAAAATTATAGACTGATCATGTCTTTGTCAGTGGGCAAACGTACAAAATCAGCAGGGGATCAAAAACTTTTTTCCCTCACTGTAAGGTCCCACAGTTGACAGTGCATGTCAGAGCAAAAACCATGCCATGAGGTCGAAGGAATTGTCCGTAGCGCTTCGAGACAGGATTGTGTCGAGGCACAGATCTGGGGAAGGCTACCAAAAACTGTCTGCAGCATTGAAGGTCCCCAAGAACACAGTGGCCTCCATCATTCTTAAATGGAAGAAGTTTGGAACCACCAAGACTCTTCCTAGAGCTGGTCGCCCAGCCAAACTGAGCAATCGGGGGAGAAGGGCCTTAGTCAGGGAGGTGACCAAGAACCCGATAGTCACCCTGACAGAGCTCCAGAGTTCCTCTGTGGAGATGGGAGAACCTTCCAGAAGGACAACCATCTCTGCAGCACTCCACCAATCAGGTCTTTATGGAAGAGTGCCCAGACGGAAGCCACTCCTCAGTAAAAGGCACATGACAGCCTGCTTGGAGTTTGCCAAAAAGGCACCTAAAGGACTCTCAGACCATGAGAAACAAGAATCCCTGGTCTGATGAAACCAAGATTGAACTCTTTGGCCTGAATGCCAAGCATCACATCTGGAGGAAACCAGGCACCGCTCATCACCTCGCCAATACCATCCCTACGGTGAAGCATGGTGGTGGCACCATCATGCTGTGGGGATGTTTTTCAGCGGCAGGGACTGGGAGACTAGTCAGAATCGAGGGAAAGATGAACGGAGCAAAGTACAGAGAGATCCTTAATAAAAACCTGCTCCAGAGCGCTCAGGACCTCAGACTGGGGCGAAGGTTCACCTTCCAACAGGACAACAAACCTAAGCACACAGCTAAGACAACGCATGAGTGGCTTCGGGACAAGTCTCTGAATTAATGTCCTTGAGTGGCCCTGCCAGAGCCTGGTCTTGAACCCGATTGAACATATCAAATCAAATCAAATGTATTGGTCACATACACATGGTTATCAGATGTTATTGCGAGTGTAGCGAAATGCTTGTGCTTCTAGTTCCGACAGTGCAGCAATATCTAGCAAGTAATATCTAACAGTTCCTCAAAAAAGATCTAATACACACAAATCTAAGTAAAGGAATGGATTAAGAATATATAAATATATGGATGAGCAATGTCATTGTCAGAGCAGCATAGGCTAAGATGCAATAGATAGTATAGAATACAGTATATACATATGAGATGGGTAATGCAAGATATGTAAACATTATTAAGATAGTATAGAATACAGTATATACATATGAGATGGGTAATGCAAGATATGTAAACATGATTAAAGTGCCATTATTAAAGTGACTAGTGTTCCATTTATTAAAGTGGCCAGGGATTTTCAAGTCTGTATGTAGGCAGCAGCTAGTGATGGCTGATGGCTGTTTAACAGTCTGATGGCCTTGAGATGGAAGCTGTTTTTCAGTCTCTCGGTCCCAGCTTTGATGCACCTGTACTGACCTCGCCTTCTGGATGATAGCGGGGTGAACAGGCAGTGGCTCGGGTGGTAGTTGTCCTTGATTCTCTTTTTGGCCTTCCTGTGACATCGGGTGCTGTAGGTGTCCTGGAGGGACCTGAAAATAGCTGTCAGCGACGCTCCCCATCCAACCTGACAGAGCCTGAGAGGATCCGCAGAGAAGAAAACTCCCCAAATACAGGTGTGCCAAGCTTGTAGTGTCATACCCAAGAAGACTTGAGGCTGTAATCGCTGCCAAAGGTGCTTCAACAAAGTACTGAGTAAAGGGTCTGAATACTTATGTAAATGTGATGTTTCAGTTAATTTTTTTCTTTTTTTTGCACAATGTTCTGAAAACCTGTTTTTGCTTTGTCATTATGGGGTATTGTGTGTAGATTGATGAGGGGGGAAACTATTTAATAAATTTTAGGATAAGGCTGTAATGTAACAAAATGTGGAAAAGTGAAGGGGTCTGAATACTTTCCGAATGCACTGTATATCTGGTTGGAAACAAGAACTTGCAGAGAATAAACTTGATAGATAGACCATTTACCTAATGTTCTTATTTAGTGGTGTATTGCTCCTTATGCCTTTCTGCTTTGTGGTGTTGAGAAAGGCAGAAGACACATTTCTGTTTACACCAATGGACAAGAAAGTTAGTATCTATTCTATTCTATTGTTATTTATTTTGCTCTTTTGCACCCCAGTATCTCTATTTGCACATACTCTCTTGCACATCTAGCATTCCAGTGTTAATACTATTTGTAATTATTTTGCACTATAGCCTATTTATTGCCTTACCTCCATAACTTGCTACATTTGCACACACTGTATATATATTTTCTGTTGTATTTTTTGACTTTATGTTTTTTTACCCCATATGTAACTCTGTGTTGTTGTTTTTATCGCACTGCTTTGCTTTATCTTGGCCAGGTCGCAGTTGTAAATGAGAACTTGTTCTCAACTGGCTTACCTGGTGAAATAAATAAATAAAATAAATTGAGGTGAAGATTTTGTCCTAACTTGCACATAGATCTGAGGCTGTCTCTATTCAGACCATAAGCAGTTTCCCAATGCAATAACCTATCGAAGTACATAACACGCTTGTGCTTGCATTAGTGGGTGCGTGTGTTGAGCTGCCAGAGGCAAGGCACAGAAGAAAAGGGCGAGGCTTTCGGGAAGGGAGGGAAATAGTTACGTAACCAATGACGTCAGGTGAGCCAACACATTCGTCATTTAAACCCAGGCGGGAAAGTACAATTAACGTTGGGCTCTCGTGAAGTCTACGTTGAAAGTGTATGTCCCGCTTGTATCAGTTTGTAGGGTGAAAAATTTGAACAACATGGTAAGGACGAAGGCAGACAGTGTCCCCGGAACTTACAGAAAAGGTAATGTTCTACAATCAAAACCTGATGAAGTTCTGTTACACGTATTTAGTTTGACTCAAACAAGTGAACGTTAGTTTGATGGTTATTCATTGTACGAAACTGGACTCGCTAGTTACTGTAGCCAACACGTTTTGCGAACATAATTGTCACCCCTGCATTCCATTATTTTGGACAAACTTTAACTGCTAATATTCGATTTTAGTGATTAGATAGTTTGATTGACTGGGTAAGATTCCTGTCTCCCGCCAACACAGCTGGCGCGCATGCTAACCCAGACGGATGTTGGCTTTGCTTAGCTAATTACGTTCGTACTCGCATCTCATGATTTTTGTGCCGGATTGGATTGTTACCTTTTAACACTACACTTGCACCAATAAATTAAACGTTTGATGTTTACAATTTAAAGAATGGATAACGAATTGGCGGAAAATTTCTTATTCGCGTATTTTCGTTAGCTAGCTAACTAGTTGGTGTTTATTATCCTCAATCTGGCGCCAATTTCGACGCCCAAATAAGCAAACAAGCCAGTCATGCAAATGTGTCGGTGGAGATTACTTTGCAAAACATTGCTACTTTATAACTAAAACTCTGCATTGCAATACACGGCACTTGCTTGATTAAAAATGACTTAACAAGCGCTTATACCATTTCAGCTGTGGCTGCATCTGCACCCAGGAAGTCATTGGGTGCCTCGAGTTCTGCAAATGCATCAAGCAGCTCTCAAGCAGGCACCCCTGGTGAGTCATGATTTCATTCAGCCTCAAAGTGATTTTTTTAAACATTTTAGTCATTTAGCAGACGCTCTTATCCAGAGCGACTTACAGTTAGTGAGTGCATACATCATGTAAGGTAGATGCCTACTTAACCATTTTTGGTAGATGCTTAACAACTATTCCCTCCAGATGTTTTTCTTTCTCATGTGTCCATCAGTGGTGAGTAGTCATGGCAGATATGTCTAAATTGTGAAATGTAATGATGCCATTATTTTTGCAGCAAAGAGTAAATTTGCTGGCGGGAATCCTGTGTGTCCTCGGCCCACCCCAACTTGGCAAAAAGGCATTGGGGATTTCTTTGGTGGGCCCGGCTGGAAGCCTGAGAAAGAGAACCAGCTCCCCCAGTCAGATGATGAAGAGGCCGGAGGTAGTGGAGTGTCCAAGGCATCCAAGAAGTACGTTTGAGTGCTATTAAGCTTAGTTTTAGTGCCTGCTGATCTGAAGGAAGTGAAGTATATTCTCAAACATTTTCTTTAGACTCTGTTACAAAAACCTTGTCAAAGTTACTAATATAAATAACTAATTCTGATACTTCAAACTACAGCGTTGCATCTGTCTGTTCTCTATATGTAACGTTGCACTGTTTTTGGAACAGATTCTGAAGATTATCATTTTAGTAATTTTTTTATCCTGGTTTTGTGGAGTTATTTGCCAAAGCAGAATCAATGGGAAACACGTACAATTCCTGCTGTTGTTTCTGTAAAAATGTACCCTAAGTTTTGGAGGTTCATCTGGCCGGTTGTGATTCTTTGTAAGCACGTTGGGTGACGTGTCAGGTTTCACATTTTCAGGGTACATCTATGACTTTCAGTGTGCTGCGGAGCCAGTTCAAATGTAATTATGGGTGACACAACATTGCTGTCCCATCTAATGTCAATCACTCACCTTTCAGATCCAGACCACTGCCTGGTGAAGACGATGATGAATGAGCTTAGCCAATGGTGTCCCAATTGAAAAGCCATTGCTTCTAGTACTCGAATGGGCTGGCAGATTTAATGTATATCTTTGTATATAATTGATTAATTCGTGGTTTTTGTACAGAAGTTAATAAACCCTTTTTTGTATGCATGATTCCATAACGTTTTGTCACTACCCTATTTTCCTACTTACAATATCTAGTCTATTTTCTCAATCTAAATTGCTGTGTTAACAATGTTTTTTTTGTTATTGAAAAGCCTTGATGGTAGCATTAGTATATGCATCAGTGGATTCCCTGCATGCCCAACAACTTCTGAAATCATGCCCTAACTAATTTATTAGCCAATATTTTTCTTGTCTTATGGGTAAGGTCTACATTTACATCATTTAGCAGACGCTCTTATCCAGAGTGACATACAAATTGGTGCATTCAACTTATGATAGCAAGTGGGACAACCCCTTTTTTTCATATTTTTATGGGGGGGTAGAAGATCACTTTATACTATTCCAGGTATTCCTTAGAGGTAGGGTTTCAAGTGTCTCCGGAAGGTGGTCAGTGACTCCGCTGTCGTGGGGGAGCTTGTTCCACCATTGGGGTGCCAGAGCAGCAAATAGCTTTGACATCTACATACCAGTAGATGGCACTAGGTCATTAAGAATAAGGTCAATGTTGAGGGGGCGTAATGCACACGTGTACATCTGAAATAGGACAAATATAAGCACCCACCTTATTAAATTGTTTAAATGTAATGAGGATGACAGCTTGTCTGAGCAATGCTTGATGATTAGTGTTCCATGATTAGACTACGTATTTTTGTCCCATTTTATACGAGTGGTATACATCAAAATATCCTCAACTATTAGGGCTAAAATTGTCGTTAGATTAATTTGTCCCTAGAATTGTTTAAATGCTTGACCTTTTGTAAAGTAGCGTGAACCTCCAGTGCTACATGTTTTTGTTAATACTGTGAGCTTTTCCACCTATATCAGCAGGAAAGGTGTGGGTGGAACCAACTCGTCATTCGTGAGAAGTGTCAAGTGTGACTGACAAAATGTCAGACACCCGTGTCAATCATAGTAGTACGGCGCCCCTGGAGCAAATTATGGTTAAGTGCCTTGCTCAAGGGCACATTGACCGTTTAAAAAAAAATGTTTTTACATTGTCAGCTCGGATATTCAAACCAGCGACCTTTCGGTTACTGGCCCCTCTAACCGCTAGGCTACCTGCCGCCCGTAAAGCACATTTGCCTGTAATTTCCATGACAACGTCGTGCACGTCTGTGATCGAGACTCATCGATTTCCAAGTATTGGAAGTTTATCGGAATACACTCGCAACTGAATATCTCCCAGGAGGATGTTGGATCAACGCTTCCGGAACCACTGTTGCAACAGTTTTACAGAGACTGAAGAGGAAGCGAGACACTCCACTCAAATTTTTTTTTTTCCCCCCTAGTTCAATGGAAGTAAGTAGACCAGACCCAGCTGCTATTGCATTTGTTTCTATGGGAGACACCCAGTTAGACCGGAACTGACCACTTTTTTTCAATAGTAAACAGCCGGAGTGAGCTATCGCCGTTTATCCACCATCTTTGATTTTTAATTCAGCGGCGAACTGAAGAGTGCTCTGGGATGCTTAACTGAAAACACCAATTGACGTCGCGTCCTCGTTTCTGGCGTTATCGCTACACGGAAAATAAATGACTAAATGCGTCCAGGACCACATTGAAAGTAAGTAACATTTCCACAAGCTAGCATTGGCTAACGCTAGCTTACCTGCATTTTCTGAACGCAGCCTAGGCTAGGTTTAACTTAGTAGCAGCTACCTAGCTAGCTGGTAGCTAACAACTTGCTGGCCTGAATTGAAGACATTGCCTGGACAATTACCTTTAGCCAGCTAACGTTAGTTAGCTAACGAACCACCCACCTAGGCTAGAGAGCATTGGACCACAAGGAAATGCATCCTGGTTTCACTGTTTTGTTTGTGTGTGGTGCAGACAGTACATGTATCTAATTGGATTGTGAGTGGTTAACTAACGTTAGTGTTTGTTGCCTGTCAAATGAGTTTCCGTCATTAGTTAGCGTTACGTTAACTACAGTTAACTGGTGATCTAACTAGGGGACTAATGGCTATAAGGGCTAGTTATTAGCTCGTTTGTCAAATAAATGACACGGGAACGCTAGTTTTTCATAAGTAGTTAACGTTATCAATGTCCAGTAATCTGTCTCGTTACTCAAACCCATGTTAGAAGCAAGCTAGCCAGGTGTCTTGAGTTTGTATTTGTATTTATGACGCTCCTGACACTGATATGCATTGCCTTAGACGGCTGCGCCATTCGGGTGCCCCCGAGTTTAATTATTGTCGAGTTTAATTAGGGTGTCAATCAAAAACGCATATTTTGACCAATGGGTCAACAAACACTTACTAATTGTGTAGGTAATCCTCTAAGAAAACCAATAGTCCAAACCTCATGTCTGTAACATAATCCGTCCAAAAGTTATTGGGAGTTTTCACCGTTGTAGGATGGCCACAATTAGGGTGACTAAATCAGTGGAGGCCAGAGGGAAAAGTGTTCGAAAATATTATTGCGTCAACTATGCTAAATTCGGTGCAAGAATTAAGGCTACTGGTTACCTGACACGCTCACTCCTCCATTGAATTCATATTCTTTGTTCTCAAATCCACAGGACATATAACAATATAGAGCCAGGTAAAATGGATATCGGTTGAGCAATGACGTGTACAGTAGTATTCATATTTTAGTATACCTTTTCATATTAATTCGAAATTATCTCTGTGAAATATCAACGGAATACTGAGCGTACCAAACTTTTTATTTTGAAAGCCTTTAACATTTAATTTAGCTCGTGTTATGGTAATTTAGCATTTTGCCACCCGCGGAAACAACCTTGAAGACAAAGACCACAACTTCACAAAAATTATGTGTGCGCTTCCATGGGGCAGAAGTCAGGCTCTTGTGATTTTGGATGGCCAAATTGCTAGCAAGAATGACAAACTGCCATGTGGGGAATCGTAAGTGGCTCAATCAGCTCGTTTCATCATGTTATTGATACCATGTCTTGTGTTGTTGTTTTGACTGATTTCATGTCAAGGCTAATATGGTTAAAATTCGCTAGCTGGCTAACCAACAACTGTAACAATGTATTTTAGACAAGTGGTAATTGTGCACATTTATTTACGTTTTCAATCAACATAGAGGAAATATACATGTTGTCAACAAGCTAAGCCAACATCTTATGGTTGCACATGTCGTTTTTGTTGCTAAACAATCAACCCAAAAGTTTGATATATTATGTAAATAAATCCTACTTTTTGGAAATTAGGTTAAGACCCCACTGAACGATTCAGAACACGAGTAATCATATTTGTATTGGTAAAATGAAATTTCTCATCCTTATGTCATATAAAATACATCACCAAAGTTAGTTTTACCTACAGTGCCTTGCAAAAGTATTCAACCCCCTTGTCGTTTTTCCTATTTTGTTGCATTACAACCTGTAATTGAAATTGATTTTTATTTGGATTTCATGTACACAATAGTCCAAATTGGTGAAGTGAAATATCTGAAACTTTGAACATCCCACGGAGCACCGTTTTAAATCCATTATAAAAAAATTGAAAGAATATGGCACCACAACAAACCTGCCAAGAGAGGGCCGCCCACCAAAACTCACGGACCAGGTAAGGAGGACATTAATCAGAGAGGCAACAAAGAGACCAAAGATAACCCTGAAGGAGCTGCATAGCGCCACTGCTGAGATTGGAGCATCTGTCCATAGGACCACTTTAAGCCGTACAATCCACAGAACTGGGCTTTACGGAAGAGTGGCCAGAAAAAAGTCATTGCTTAAAGAAAAAAAGAAGCAAATACGTTTGGTGTTCACCAAAAGGCATGTGGGAGACTCCACAAACATATGGAAGAAGGTGCTCTGGTCAGATGAGACTAAAATTGAGCTTTTTGGCCATCAAGGAAAATGCTATGTCTGGTGCAAACCCAACACCTCTCATCACCCGAGAACACCATCCCCACAGTGAAGCATGGTGGTGGCAGCATCGTGCTGTGGGAATGTTTTTCATCGGCAGGGACTGGGAAACTGGTCAGAATTGAAGGAATGATGGATGGCGCTAAATACAGGGAAATTCTTGAGGGAAACCTGTTTCAGTCTTCCAGAGATTTGAGACTGGGATGGAAGTTCACCTTCCAGCAGGACAATGACCCTAAGCATACTGCTAAAGCAACACTCGAGTGGTTTAAGGGGAAAGATTTAAATGTATTGGAATGGCCTAGCCAAAGCCCAGACCTCAATCCAATTGAGAATCTGTGGTAGGACTTAAAGATTGCAAATTTATCTCACAGAAGAAAGCATCCGAGCGAGCGAAACAGCGCCCCTGGTTCAGGTTATCAGTCAACCTACCAGATCACAACTTTACTAATGCTGCAGAAATTTGCTTTACAGCAGTATCCAAATCCATTGTGTCACGAACCGGCTCAAGTTCGTAACAAAAGGGAGACACGTGGAGACAAGGAGTACTCAAAGTATATATTTATTAATTAAAGTAAACTAAATCAAATAACAATGGTGTGTGTAATCAGTAATCAGTAGTGTAAGTGAGTGTTTGCATGCATAAATGTAATATGGAAAAGTGTTGAGAGGTGCCAAAGCAAACAACCAAAAAGGCCACAAAAATACCACAACCAAAGTCAAAGTATCTGCCTGGAGAGAGTCTCCTCAATGAATGTGGAAGAGGTCCATTTATGCTGGGACACACCCGGCCCAGGTGTTTCCCATGTAGCTGACGACCCTCCCAACTCCGCCCACCGGCATCCTAATAAGGAAACAAGAGCAAAGAGAGAATACGGCAGACAGAGTGGGAGGGTCGTCACACCCCCCCCCCCCCCCCATAAGACCGGGGACCAACAAGGACCCCGGACCAACGTACCAGCCCCTGCGTCCCAAACCGACAAATTGTACATGTTCACACCTCCACTTGCCCCACCCATCATCCTCCTCTCCAGACCTCAGCAACCTTTACACAGGAAGCAACCTTTAAGAGGAAAGAAGAACCCAAGACTAGGAGGGGACAAACAGGAAAGATAGAACATGACAAAATCAAACAATGGTCGGTCACATC